CAAAGTGGAAACACAGGAATCTCGTGATTTTTCTTCCGACTTTGCCCATCAGCTCCTGGGGACTGGAGAAGGGAGTCTTGGAAGCCAAGAAAGAAGCAGGCAGGGAGGCTGGGAGGGAGTGGAGCCCTCAGCCAGACCAGGTCCACTGCAGGAGGGTGGAAGAATTCAAGCATTATTCTCCTTGCAGATGAACATCTGTCTTGGCTGAAAGGAGCGTCCGTCCGGGCCTGAGACCTCAGATGGAGGAGGGGAATCAGTTGTGTTTGGGGGAGAGGAAGAATCATCGCGGGGAAGAGAAATGGGAGGGAGACGGTGCCGGTGCAGTGGAGGGATGGGACTAGAATGGTTTTGATTGTGTCTCCTCCATCACCTGGCTCAGCTTGGCTCAGAAATTCTTGCTGCATCCTCACTCTGGGCGGAGGCCCAGAGAACTGCCAACCTCCTAATTACAGGCATTTCTCACTGGTGTCGTAGTGGCTGCAGTGGGCCCAGCATCAGAGTTGCTTTGTGTCACGCAAGGAGTGCTTGCTGCTCCGAGCAATTGCTCCCTTTTTTTTCCCACTCACCATTCCATCTGCCTCTCATCTGCCTCTGTTCACACTCAGCTCCTCAATGCCATCTCTTACTCACACTGATCCTTGCCAGCTCCTCTCTCTTTCACCCACTCTCCCCATCAAGGGTCCTTGGGCTCATGCACACACTTCCCAAAAGAGCAGTCCAAGCCCTGCATACCCCAGCCAGTTTCTCTGTTGGCCTGTCTATTGCTTTCTCTCTCTCTCAGTCACACACACACACACACACACACACACACACACACACACTTGTGCACATACTCTCCTTTTCTGTGTGACAGCTCTAAATGGAGTTGGGGGGAGGCCAGAGGGGGTTGAGGGAATACAGCTCATTGTTCACCAGCTCCAACACTTCTTTGATTTTCCTCAGCAAGGATAACCTCAGCCTTTTGACTTCATAGAGCATAGAGGCCAAGACTTTGGAAGACCCTTCCCTTTTGTCTCAGGCCTCATCCCTTACCCAAAGTGGGTTTCCCGGAAGGAATTCAGGTAGATCCTACTGCCTACACCCTTCAGTTCCAAGTCTTGGTATTGTGAGGACTGAAAGACAAGCTCACCTTCATTCATTCATTCATTCATTCAATCTCTTAAAAATATTTACTGAATGCTTACAATGTACTAGATGCTGGGAGTAGAGAGGTGAACGAGGTGAACACTAGCCATGAATTTATGGAATTGAAAGTGTTTTGGGGGAAGGCAGATGTTAAACACCTAATGATCTAAATAATCACAATAGCAAAAGTAATTAATTATAGTTGTGACAATTGCTAAGACTGAGAACCATTCTGTATTATAAGAAGGTTTGGCTTGCCAGGGGGAGTGGAGCTAGAGGGATGGGATCTGGAAGAGGCTGGCTGAGAACAGCCCAGGCCTCTCTTACTTCCTTTCTTGGCTCCTGCACAGTGATGGATGAGGAGGAGACCAGCAGTTTATTTCCCCTGGAAGCTACACTGCTGGTGTGATGCAGGGTTCCATGGCTCCTGCTATTTAATAAAGAATGCTGCGTGTGTCTTGGGTAGATGGATGAGCAAATATTCCTGATGAAAGGACCATTGCCTGCCCTGATAGAAATGGATTGGAAGGGATGGGGCTGGGAGACAGATCGGGAAACCAGGTCTGAACCCTGGGGAGGGTAGAAAGGGTCAGCTGCACTGTCGTCCTAGCAGAGGGGCACAGAACACTGCACTGTGGGTGACTGCTGACCCCTGATGGGCATAGAGACACAGTTTGGTTTTGTCCTTTAAGGAAGATTTGTGTCAGAAGTACTTAAAACAGCATTTGTGGAGGGTCTTACACAGGGGATATTGGAACAATCTCAGGATTGTTTTTCTTGCAGCCTGGATCAGGAAGGTCTCCTCCTAGCTGGGGCTCTGAAGCTCACAATTTAATCTTTGGGGGGTGGAATTTTAATTCCTAAGGTGATAGGAGTGGGCAGGAGGGAAGGAGAAGGAAGAGGGAGGATGCGGAATCCCAAACCAACTTTGTTAGATGATCCATTCCATTGCCTTTGTCTATTTGTCTCTCTTCATCCTGGATAGGATTAACATAGTAGCCTTAAAAATCTGTTTTGTGTTTTAAAGCTTCCTTTTCTGGGGTGTGTGTGTGTGTGTGTGTGTGTGTGTGTGTGTGTGTGTTTCCAGACAGTTTTGCTCTTGTTGCCCAGGCTGGAGTGCAATGGTGCGATCTTGGCTCACCACAACCTCCACCTCCTGGGTTCAAGAGATTCTCCTGCCTCAACCTCCTGAGTAGCTGGGATTATAGGCATGTACCACTACACCCAGCTGATTTTGTATTTTTAGTAGAGACAGGGTTTCTCCATGTTGGTCAGGCTGTTCTCAAACTCCTGATCTCAGGTGATCCGTTGCCTCAGGCTCCCAAAGTGCTGAGGTTACAAGCATGAGCCACTGTGCCCGGCCCTGAGTTATTTTTTAAAATTTATTTTGAAACTTTTATTGTTGTTGTTTTGAGATGGGGTCTCACTCTCATCCAGGCTGCAGTGCAGTGGCACGATCTCAGCTCACTGCAAGCTCTGCCTGCCTGGGTCAAGCAATCATCCTACCTCAGCCTCGGAGTAGCTGGGACCACAGGCACACGCCACCACCCCCGGCAATTTTTTGTACTCTTGGTAGAGACAGAGTTTCATCATGTTGCCCCAGCTGGTTTTGAACTGTGGACCTTAGATGATTTGCTCTCCTTAGCCTCCCAAAATGCTGTGACTACAAGTGTCAGCCAACTGCACCAGGCCTACAAGGAATTTTTCTTTCTGACTTTCTGGAGGGCCAATGAATGATAACATCTGCTTATTGTGAGGGTGTTCTGAGAAAGTTAGCCAAACCTTTAGCAGAAAAATGCCTGAGAGAAAGCTTCAGCAGAGAGCCCTTCTCCATCACAGTGCCTCCTGCTCACTCCTCTCATCAAACAAAGGCAAGTTTTCAAGTGTGTTAATGGGAAATCATGAGGCATCCACCTTATAGTCCTAATTTGGCTCCTTCTGACTTGGTTTTGTTTCCTAATCTTAAAAAAAATCTTGGCGGGTGCAGTGGCTCATGCCTATAATCCCAGCACTTTGGGAGGCCGAGGCAGGTGGATCACCTGTGGTCAGGAGTTTGAGACCAGCCTGACCAAGATGGTAAAATCCTGTCTCAACTAAAAATACAAAAATTAGCTAGGCGTGGTGGTGTGTGCCAGTAATCCCAGCTACAAGGGAGGCTGAGGCAGGAGAATTGCTTCAACCTGGGAGGCAGAGGTTGCAGTGAGCTGAGATTGTACCATTTTACTCCAGCCTGTATGACAGAGTCAGACTTCATCTCAAAAAATAGTAATAACAAAAATAAAAATAAATCTTCAAAGTGTTTTTTCAATTAATAGTGCAAAAAATAAAAGACTGCATTGACATGCTTAAATTCCAAAGACCTTAAGTTCTTTATTGATGAACTAAGTGGCTGGTATCATTGCTTACAAATGTGTTTTGAACTTGTTGGAGCTAATGTTGAAAAATAAAGTTTAGGCTGGGCATAGTGACTCATGCCTGTAATACCAGCATTTGGGGAGGCTGAGGCGGGCTGATCACCTGAGGCCGGGATTTCAAGACCAGTCTGGCCAACTTGGTGAAACCCTGTTTCTACTGAAAATACAAAAATTAGCCAGGCATGGTGGAAGGTGCCTGTAATCTCAGCTACTCTGGAGGCCAAGGCAGGAGAATCGCTTGAACCCAGGAAGCGGAGGTTGCAGTGAGCAGATATCTCATGACTGCACTCCAGCCTGGGCGACAGAGCAAGACTCCATCTCAAAAAAAAAAAAAAAAAAAAAAAAAAAGTAAAAAATGGCCTTGCCTACTTTTTTTTTGAGCTAACTGTTCTGCAAGGTGTAGCTGTCTTGCACCTATTCCGGACCTGAACCCAGTGGTGTGGCAAACACTCTCTGTGTTCCAGAGTCCAGGAGCACCCAGGTCTCCAGGCCAGTTAAGATCTCTCAATCTTGGGTCTGTCTGATGAGCTGACTTGAGGAAAATATCTTCTGTTTTTAGGAGGACCTGTGTTCTAGGTCTCTGTGTATAAGCTGGATGTTATGTTTCCTTTGAGTGTGTTCAATGTGGTCCTCCAGTGTGTGTGTGCTGTGATTTATTTTTAAGTATTTTTGGACTAATATCTGTCTCCCCAGCCAGGCGTGGTGGCTCATGCCTACAATCCTATTACTTTGGGAGGCTGAGGGAGGTGAGTTGCTTGAGCTCAGGAGTTTGAGACCAGCCTGGGCAACATGGTGAAACCCTGTCTCTACAAAAAATACAAAACTTAGCCGGATGTGGTGGTGCACCTGTAGTCCCAGCTACTGGAAAGGCTGAGGCAGGAGGACCGCTTGAACCTGGGAGGTGGAGGTTGCAGTGAACCAAGATCGTGCCAATGCATTCTGGCCTGGGTGACAAAGTGAGACCCTGTCAAAAAAAAAAAAAAAAATCTGTTTCCCCCACTAGACTGTAATCTCGATGGGGGCAGGGACCCTGTCTTTGCTCACCAGTTTTATCTCGAATGCCTGGCTCATAGTTGGAGCTCAGTATATATTTATTGAAAGAATAATTGTGTACAGTCTGTGTCTATGTGTACTTTAGTAGCTACAATTTATTTTTGAGGCTGGGGTGACAGAGAGCTAATGTCCTCTGAGAATGAAAATTGTTCGAATGACGTATATGACATACGTATGTCTACGTCTTTGTGTCCCGATTGTGTTTTATGCACGTAATCTGGAAATTTGTGGAGACAACTCAGAAAATATCAAACACGCATTATATATCAGATCCTGAGTTAGGCCCAGGGCAAAAACGACTTCTCCCGCTCGTTCTGCTAACTGTGGGGAGGATCTAGAGGTGAGATTTTAAACAGGGTAGAAATTGCGTATTTATTTTTATTTTTTATGTTAAGATTATTGCTTTTGGGGGGCGTTCTAGCAAAAACCAGAAAGCCTGCCGGGCAAATTCTAAAAAAGCTGTTTAACACTAGGGTAGAAATTGTTGATGCCAAGTTTCCACCCAGTGGCGAGGGCGATGCTAGGGCAGGGGGCGGAGCCCCGTTCCAGAAGCTCCGCCCCGGGCTCCATTATTTTTTTTTTCATTCCGGAACCTTTTATCCCCCTCCCCACCATGTTTTCCTCCGGTGTCTTTTGAGCAACGAGCACTTCCGGAATCTCCCGGCGGGTCTTCCTACCAAAGCCAGCTCCTCGGCTCGCGTGGGCCGGCCCGTTTGGCTCGCGTGCTCCGGCCCTGTTAGCTCGCGTCCTCACGCACTTTGGGTTTCCCGACCTCATGGCCGGCCTGACCCTATTTGTGGGCCGCCTCCCGCCCTCGGCCCGCAGTGAGCAGCTGGAGGAATTGTTCAGTCAGGTGGGGCCGGTGAAGCAGTGCTTCGTGGTGACTGAAAAAGGTAGGGGGCGGGGCGATCGAGAATAGGGTTGGGGTTTCCTGGGAGCGAGATGGGGGCGAGGGCACCTTCCCAAACTTCAGGGACTCGTATCATTCGTTTCACGCCCCGAAGAGAAGGAAATGGGAACTGAGTATTTTCCAAACTGATTCTGCTTTAGATGCGTTCGTAGGGGTCAGTATATGAAAGACAAAGCATTCCTTTACGTTTGAAAATAGTTAAGTAGAGCATCGGTAAGGCTTATTGAGAGTCACTTGATTGCCAGGTACAGTGATCAGTTTGATACAGTTTATCTCATTTTATTTTCTCAGTAATCTTACCAGATGGCGAGTCTTAATCTCATTTTACAGACAGGAATCTAAGATTTAGGGGATTTAGTAACTTTAGTAAGTTCGTACAGCCGTTAAGTAGTGGACCCCGAATTTGATCCACAGACTTGGACATCTTAGCCAGTATGCTACCCATTCGTTCATTCATTTATTCAGCAGATACTTAACGAATACCTGCTGTGTGCCGGGAAGTGTTGTAGGTCCTGGGGATGCAGCAGTACACAACACCAAACCAAAAACCTTTGCTCTTATATCTTCAAGGTGGGGAAGATAGCTAATAAGCCAGTTGTGTAGTGAAAACTGTGTTAAATGCTAAAGAGAAAAACAAGTCAGGGAAAGGGGTTGGGAAGTCTATGTTCATGTGTGTAGTGGGGAGAGGGGGTGAAGAATGGCAGTATAGATAAGGTGGCCAGAGAAGGACTGACTGAGGTGAGAGAGTGAACATATATGCCTCTTGGGAGGAGAAAATTCAGGAAGAGGAAACAGCAAGCCCAAAGGTACGGAAGCAGAGATATGCCTGGTATATTGGAGGAGTAGCAAGGAGGACAGGGTGACTGGAGTGAAGTGAGTGAAGGGAAAGATTAGGAGACAAGATGGAGAGTAGCAGATCATGTAGGATTGTGTGTGTGTGTGTGTGTGTGAGAGAGAGAGAGAAAGAGAGAGAGAGAGAGAGAGAGAGAGAGAGAGAGAGAGAGAGAGACTGCTTCTTGCTGTGTCTCTAAGGCTGGAGTTCAGTGGAGCCATCTCGGCTTACTTCAACCTGTGCCTCCCAGTTCAAGTGATTCTCCTGTCTGAGCCTCCCGAGTAGCTGGGATTACAGGCAAGTGCCACCATGCCCGGCTAATTTTTGTATTTTTAGTAAGAGACAGGGTTTCACTCTGTTGACCAGGCTGGTCTCTATCTCCTGACCTCAGGTGATCTGCCCACCTCATGTAGGATGTTAGAGACCATTGCAAGGACTTTGGCTTTTACTCAGAGATAGGAAGCCACCGATTTTAAGCAGAGCAGTAAGTATGATCTGGCTTTCATTTTGAAAGATTCTCTCTGGCTGGTGTGTTGTGAATAGACTGCTGGAGAATAAGACAGAAGCTTAAATACTTAAAATAGAGACTGAAAGTGCTGTATAGTAGTGTTTATTAAACTGCAGATTATTACCTACTAAGTGGGTCTTGAGTGGGTCATGACTAGAGTTTTTTTTTTTTTTTTTTTTGTATATTTTGTTTAGAAAACAGGGTCTTGCTCTTTTCAACCAAGGTTGGGGTACAGGGGTGAGATCATAGCTCAATGTAACCTTAAACTCCTGGGCTCAATTAATGCTTCTACTTCAGCCTCCCAAGTAGCTAGGACTACAGGCGTGCTTCACCATGCCTGGCCAATTTTTGAATATTTTTGTAGAGATGGGGTCTCACTATGTTGCCCAGGCTGATCTCAAATGATCCTCTTGCCTTGGCCTTCCAGAGCACTGGGATTACAGGTGTGTGCCACTGCACCTGGCCTAGAGTTCTTAACAAATTAAATAGTATAGGAGTAAATCCATATATGGTAAAGTGTAAGTATTTGTAAAACTTTCAAATTTTATTTTATTTTATTTTATTTTATTTTATTTTTCTTTTTTTTTTTTTTTTTGAGACGGAGTTTCACTCTTGTTACCCAGGCTGGAGTGCAATGGCGCGATCTCGGCTCACCGCAACCTCCGCCTCCTGGGTTCAGGCAATTCTCCTGCCTCAGCCTCCTGAGTAGCTGGGATTACAGGCACGAGCCACCATGCCCAGCTAATTTTTTGTATTTTTAGTAGAGACAGGGTTTCACCATGTTGACCAGGATGGTCTCGATCTCTCGACCTCGTGATCCACCCGCCTCGGCCTCCCAAAGTGCTGGGATTACAGGCTTGAGCCACCGCGCCCGGCCAAACTTTTAAATTTTAAATAAAGAATATATGTATGTACTGGGTTTCAGTGTAAGTTACATTCCGAACGGCGAGTACTATGCAGTGCCAGGTGATTGTATTCCAGGGAGGAGCAGGCCATTGAATGGAAGTTCTTCTTTGAGTCCTCAGAATATAGGCTACATGTAACCTTACCTTAAACCTTGTGTACTTGGTCTAAATCCTTAAAAATCTCTTACTTTTTAAAAACTATGCACTTTCCTCTCCAGACAGCTGAGATGTACTGGAAAGAGTGCTGCACTCAGTGAAACGGGAGGGAGGGTAGGTGGAGTGAAGTCTTCCTCAATAACACTGCATGTCACTTCAGCTCTTTAAGATGGGAATAATTTCACAGGGATTCTAAACGTACGCGAGCATGCTTTATGCAGACGTGTAAAATGTGTGGTATTTGCTATATGTCCTTTTATCTGGGTGTCGAACTCCTTTACATTTCAGCTGCTTTACTTCTGGTAGTACTGATCAGGAAGGGCTGTGAATTTTCTTGTTCTCATTTTTTGAAAGGTGAGTGGGCAGCTTTTATGACAGGGGGTTCCAAGAGAAGAGAAAAACTGATGTCATGTCGCTTTAACTAGTTTATGTAGATCAGTGTCCTGTGTCAAAGGGCTTATATACCCTGAAGCAGATTCAAATGTAGTGGGAACAGAACCAGAGCAGATGAGCTCTGTTTCCTTTTCAGGTAAAGGCAGACTGCTCAATCTATCCTTTTCCTTTTTGATGCAGTAAATTATTTAAAATCTTCTATCCAAAATGTTAAACCAGAAAGGGCAAAGATGGGCTACGGTTGATATTTGTAATTTTCATCTGCTTGGTCCTCATATTGTTTTTGTGGAGTCCTATGGAAGAACATGGGGACTGGTAAGGAGGAGTTAATTCAGTTACTAATACCCTACGTGACATTAACCAGTTCACTTACTTTCTTCCATCTCAAATTATTTATTTGGAAAGAAGGAGTGGTAATATTTGCTTCACCTATTTTGAGGTGTTCTGAAGATAAAATGAGATAAGAATTCATAGCTGCTTTGGAAAGGTTTAATTTGATATTGACAGCTAAGGCATTGGTAATGGTGGTCATAATATCTGCAGTCTCTCTGAGCAGTATTTATTATTTGAGGTTCTTTGTCAGGGCCTCAGGCATTTATTATTGCTGATCTGTTTTGAGGAGTGACTGCATCATTGTGTTCTGATTTTTAAAGCTACCAGACTCTCTTAGTCCATTTTCTGTTGCTTATAACAGAATACCCGAAACGGGGTACTTTATAAAGAAAAATTTATTTCTTACAGTTCTGGAGGCAGAGAATTCCAAAGTCTAGTGGCTGTATCTGGTGAGAGCCTTCTCATTAGTGGGGACTCTGCAAAATCCCCAGACTGTGCAGGATATCACATGGCAAGTGGGCTGAGCATGCTAATGTGCTTGCTCAGATCTCTCTTCCTCTTGTAAAGCTGCCAGCGCCACTGTTATGATAGCCCATTAATCCATTAATTGATTAATCCATTCCTGAAGATGGCCCTCAGATCCAATAACCTCTTCAAGATTCCACCTTTCAATAGTGCTACATTGGGGATTAAGTTTCCAACACATGAAATTTGTCAGACACATTCAAACCATAACACATACTTACCTTTCTTGCCTTCTCTGATGATACTTTGTTCTCTTTGATGCTGAGTTCTTTGAGGGCCTAATATATTATGGAACCTTTGTGTGCTTGGGATTATCAGGAAAGTGGGAAGAAGAGGAGCTAACAGCTAAGACACCAAATTAAGAGGAGGAAGGCTAACCGTTTCTAAGCAAAGTGGGGATGGAACCACTGATACCACCCTTGTTTCTTTTCCTCCTGAGGCTTTTAGCAAACTGATAGCAAGGTGGGTTGGGAGTATATCCTCTAGCTTAGACTGAGGATTTTTGAATTGAGTTCTCTTGGCTTATGATTTTCTCTCCTTTTCACACTGCCCCTCCCCCATCCACTGCATTATTCCAGGGAGTAAGACATGTCGAGGCTTTGGCTATGTCACTTTTTCTATGCTGGAAGATGTTCAGAGGGCCCTCAAGGAGATTACCACTTTTGAAGGTTGTAAGATCAACGTGACCGTTGCCAAGAAAAAACTGAGGAACAAGACAAAGGAAAAGGGGGGAAATGGTGAGTTTCTAGTAGTAATTGAAGGAAGTTTTTCTTCCAGGGTGAGGAGCACTGTGAAACTGAAAGAGGGAGGCATGGGGATAGCTTCTAGAACCTAAAGCTTTTTGCATTTGTTTTTGATCTCCAGAATCATCCATTGTATTGTGATACTCATTTTAGTTCTTTTGTTGCAT